AATAAAAGACACTTAAATTGTTCTCTTTTCATATTCTGACTTTCCAGACTGTAAGTTTTTTTTTTTTTTTTTATCCTCACCCGAGGACATTTTTCCATTTTTTGTTCAGGTAGAGCGGGAGGGAGAGAGAGGAACAGAGAGAGAGAGAGAAACATCGACGTGAAAGGGACACATCGAGTGGCTGCCACCCGCACAACCGACCAGGGCTGGGGACAAACTGCGGCCGAGGTACGCGCCCTTAGTGGGAATCCAACCCGGGTCTCTCAGGACCGCAGGCCGACGCTCTAACCGCTGAGCCAAACCGGCCAGGGCCAGACTGTACGTTTTTAAAAACTCAGACTAAATTACTATTAAGCAATCTATGAGGAATTGAATATCTTTCAAATATATACATAATTTACCCTTAAGTATAAAATTCTATAACTTCAATTTTGGTTTATAACTCTGGAGTTTCACATTTGTTTATTTATTGTATTTTATTTATTTATTTATTTTACCTTTAAAAAATATATTTTTTAAACAAACTTATTTTAGTTAAAGATGTTTCTACTTTTCTTCTCCATTGACACCCTCCTCCCCATCCTGGCTTTATTGTCTGTGTCCACTGGTTATGCATACATGCATATAAGTTCCGTGGCATATCTCCTCCCTTCCTCCACCATCTCCTCTCTTCTGAGGGTTGTCAGTCTGTACCCTAATTCCACATCTCTGGGTCTACCCTATTCCTCAGACTGTTATGTTCATTATACTCCACAAATAAGTGAGATCATGTGGTATTTGTCTTTTTCTGCTTGGCTTGTTTTGCTTAGGATAATACATTCCAGGTCCTTTCATGTCGTCTCAAAGGATAAGAGATCTTTCTTTCTTACAGTTGCATAAAATTGCATTGGGTATATGTACCACAGATTTTTCATCCATTCGTCTACTGATGGACACTTGGGCTGTTTCCAGATCTTAGCTATTGTCAATAGTGCTGCTATAAACATATATGTACAAGGTACATATATCCCTTCTGATTGATGTTTCAGGCTTCTTAGGGTATAATCCTAGAAGTGGAATAACTGGGTCAAATGGAAGTTCAATTTTTAATTTTTTGAGGTAATACCATGTTCTTTTCCAGAGTGGCTGCAGCAGTCTGCATTCCCAGACGATACTAGAGTCCCGTTTTCTCCACACCCTCGCCAACACTTGTTTGGTGATTTGTTGATGGTGGCCATTCTGACAGGTGTAAGGTGATACTTCGTTGTTGTTTTAATTTGCATCTCTCTGATAATTAATAACATTGGTCATTTCTTCATAAGTCTCTTGGTCATTTGTATGTCCTATTCGAAAAGGTGTCTATTTAACTCCTCTGCCCATTTTTTAATTGGGTTCTTTGTCTTCCTTTTGTTGAGCTGCATAAACACTCTACATATTTTGGAAATTAACCCCTTATCTGATGTATCGTTGGCAATTATGGTGTCCTATACAGTGGGCTGCCTTTCCATCTTGATGACTGTATCTTTTGCTATGCAGAAACTTACTGGTTTGATGTAGTCCCATGTGTTGATTTTTTCCTGTTTCTGTTGCCTTAAGTGATGTATCAGTGAAAATTCTGCTGTGTATGATGTCTGAAAATTTTTTTTAATCTTTATTGTTGGATGTAAAATGTATTACAGATGTTCCACATTTTTCCCCCATTGACACCCTCCTCCCCACTTCCACCCCCTCCCACCTTTTCCCACACTATTGTCTGTGTCCATTGGTTATGCATATAAGTTCTTTGGTTTATTTCTTCCCACCCTCCCAACCCCTTTCCCTTTGAGGTTTGTCAGTCAGCAATGAATTTGTACTTCTTAATCCCGTCACCTTTTTCACCCATTCCCCAAACCCTTCTCCCAACTGGCAACCAACAAAATGTTCTCTGTATCTATGAGAATGTTTCTGTTCTACCTGTTCATTTTGTTTGTAGATTCCATCGTTGATAGATATGTATTCATTGCCATTTTGTTTGTTCATATACTTTATCTTTTTCTTCAAAAAGACCCTTCATCATCTCATATAATAATGGTTTGGTAGTGATGAACTCCTTTAACTTTTTCTTGTCTGGGAAAGTTTTTATATGTCCATCAATTCTAAATGACAGCTTTGCAGGATAATCTTGGTTGTAGGTTCTTGGTTTTCATCACTCTGAATATTTCTTGCCACTCCCTTCTGACCTGCAAAGTTTCTTTTGAGAAATAAGCTGACAGTTTTATGGGAACTACCTTGTAGGTAACTAACTGCTTTTCTCTTGCTGCTTTTAGGATTCTTTGTCTTGAACCTTTTGCATTTTGATGATGATGTGTCTTGGTGTGGGCCTCTTGGGGTTCATCTTGTTTGGGACTCTGTGCTTCCTGGACTTGTATGTCTGTTTCCTTCACCAACTTAGGAAAGTTTTCTGCCATTATTGTTTCAAACAGGTTTTTGATTTCTTGTTCTTGCTCTTCTCCTTCTGGCACCCCCAAGATGTGAGTGTTGGCACGCTTGAAGTTGTCCCAGAGGCTCCTTACACTATCCTCATTTTTTTGGATTCTTTTTTCTTTTTGCTGTTCTGATTGGGCATTTTTGCTTCCTTATATTCCAAATCGATGGTTTGCTCTTTGGATTTACGTACTCTATTATTGAAGCTGTGTAAATTATTCTTTATTTCAGTTAATGCCTCCCTCAATTCTAACTGTGTATCCATGATTTCTAACTGGTCCTTTGTAATGCTCTTGAGGCCCTCCCTAAGTTCACTGAGATTCTCACTGAGTTCATTGAGCATCCTTATAAGCGGTATTTTGAACTCAGTATCTGTTAGGTTGCTTATCTCCATTTCGCTTAGTTCTTTTATTGGGGTTTTGTTCTGTTCTTTCCTTTGGGACCTGTTTCTTTGTCTCCTCATTTTGGCTGCCTCTCTGTGTTTGTTTCAGTGTATTACTTAATGAGAGGTATGGGGCTCGCTGAGACCAGATGCTGCTCATTTGAAAGAATTTAGGAAAAACCTGAAGCAGGATCCAAGACAGGCCAATCCTATGGTTAAGCAAGTGGCAACAGCTTGGGTGGGCCTGAAAGTTGGGTGGGGCGAGGCGGGGCCTCAGGGAGTCAGCAGGGCGGGGCTACAAGTGTGAGCCAGGTTGCTGGAGTCCCAGATATGGCTTCTGTCTGCCGCCCCCGGGAAGGGCTCACCAAAGGAACAAAGGCCTCTGACAGCACGTTTATCCCCGAGGAAGCCCCCTCTCCAGCGCTCGATCCAGTGCCAAACAGCTCCATTCTTCCCTGTATGACTCTAGTGCCTCTCGAGCTGCCTTTCCTCCAAGCTTAGAGGGAGAGAATCCGATAAGTCTGGGGGCGGGCCCTTTAGGGAGCTGCCTGGGGCTCCAGTCGCTTGAGCTTCCCTGAGCCTCAGTTCCTGCTGGTTTTTCCAGCCAGAAATTATGGGGACTTCTCTTCCTGGCACTGGAACCCTGAGCGGGGCACCTGGTGTGGGCGGGGACCCCTCAGTCCTCAGGAAGGACCTTCCCAGCTGAGGTGTCCTCCTGATTTATATCCGCCACACTTGGGTGTGGGACCAGCCCGTCATGCCGCCCCTCGCGCCTCCGCCCCTCCTACCAGTCTGGATGTGGCTGCTGCTTTAATTCCGTAGGTGTAGGACTTCCATTCAGCTTGATTTCAGGCGGTTTTGAACAATGGTTGTTCTGTAGTTCAGTTGTAACATTAAATTAATTATAATTAAATAGTGCAATATAGTTTTATTAATTTACTGTTATTTTAAACAAATTTCAGCAAGTAGGTTGTTACTGTGGAAAAAACAGTGTAGTAATTTTGCTGACATAAATAAACATTACATATGTATAGCTACAATCTACATATTTAAGTCCAAGACTCACCACTTGTAAACAATGTTCGGTAAATGTCTCAAGGTACAACTTTCTGCAGTAGTTTGTTTTTTGTTTTTTTTTATCCTCACCCGAGGACATTTTTCCATTTTTTGCACAGATAGAGTGGAAGGGAGAGAGAGGAAGAGAGAGAGAGAGAGAGAGAAACATCGACGTGAAAGAGGCACATCGAGTGGCTGCCACCCGCACTACCAACCAGGGCCGGGGACAAACTGCAACCGAGGTACATGCCCTTAGTGGGAAAGGAACCCGGGTCTCTCCGGACAGCAGACCGATGCTCTAACCACTGAGCCAAACTGGCCAGGGCTCTGCAGCAGTTTTAACATGTGCAGGCTGATGTCTGACATGTGCCAAGCCACATTCCAGCCATAAGAATTTGTTTACTTGAGGTGAGTGGTGAATGCATGCATTTACTAGACCTAATCAGTATAAATTTAAAACTACTGTAATACATATAAAAAACTTTTCTATGAAATTAAACATTTCATACATACTTAATTTTAATTACACAAATATGTCTACATAAGTAAAAACAGGTAAACAAACTAATTTGTAAACTTCTTAACATATGCATTCAGAAACCCTACTTTATTGTATAACAAAGTTTCGGGCATTAATAAACACCCCTTTGCCTGAATTAGTCCATTATATTGAAATTTTACTGTATGACTCTAGTTATGTAAAATTTATGAAAATAAGAGCTACTGTGCAATGACAGAAAGCAGACTAATGGTTGCCTGGAACCAGGGGCAGGAAACTTTAAGGGCTAATGAAAATGCTGTTTTCCACCTCATGCATAGTTTAAACATCTATCAAAATTCACCATATTCTATACTTTGATCTAGCTTATGCAACATAAATTATACCTTAAAAGGCCTTTTAAAAGGTTTGTAAAAGTACTTTCTAAAATACTAATATTAGCAGATAACATTACATATAGCTCTATGACATAAACTTTAGCTAAAATGAGTTAAAGTGAAATTGTCACAGAACATTTAACTTTGAAATTGTGATATTCTTTATTTATAAGTAAGTAGAGATTGGGTCATAGTAGTAAAAATATAAACCATTCAATATCCTAGAGGTTTCAAAGTTTAATACTAACCTCATCAGATATTTGCTGAGCAAGATGTATTGATACATTTCTAAGCATGCACTCAGATGATGGATTAGGGATGCTCTGAAGGGCATTTTGTAGCACCTCTGCTTGATTGCGAATAACCTGGTTAATCTGAAAAAAAAGTTAACCTTCTTAGTAGGAATAAAAAACTTGTACATAACTATATTTCAAGTGTTAGTACATAATAAAAACCCAATCCTTTGCTACTCATTCATTATTACTGTTAAGATGTCATCTGTCCGTTATTTACAATGTTTTGACTAAAAAGCAATTCAGATTGCCAACATTGTAAAAACATCCTTGCTTAGTTGCCTTTTCAAGTGAGACTATTCTTCTGAAAACTCTAATTTTAGATGAATTCAATATTGTTTCTACAGTTGGGTTCACTTTCACTTGCAGGAGATAAATGGCATAGCTTTGAACAAACAAATATTTTACATCTCTAGGTAAATCCTCTCCTCAGCCCTCCTTTCTCAACAATTGGCCATGCCTGCCATGATGTGATTGAAAAAACTGATGATACCAGATAAATTTCAATTTCTTATACACTGATCTTTGCATATGTCTCACCTCTTTCCCATTCCCTCTTTCAACTATTCCTTATGTTGTTTAAAGGTATGCATTCTATTTAAGCTCTAATGTTTATCTAAAAACATTTTAAATTCTGCACAGCTTAATCCCCCATCCTTTCTTTCATAGTTTTTTATTTTTTATTTTTATTTTTTAAATTAAGTGTTTTTAATGGATGTTTAAGAAATACAAGATTTTGTGGTGGTATTTCTATAGTCACTAGGTGAACAAAGCAGAATACTGATTAGGTATGATGCTTCCTTTCAGCTCTTCTCTCTAACCACAAATTGGAGTTTAAATTTTTATTTAATTTATGTCTATTTATTGTTATGGACATATTATTTTATTACTTCAATAAATACTTGAGGGTCCATTTGCCGTGTGGTACAATGTAAGATTTCTAATAAGTGAATGGAGCAGAAGTGGTGAAAGTACAGTTTTAGGATTAGCCTTTACTGCTTCATTGAATTAAACTGTCATTTTTACTATTTGGTCAGGTTATTTCATCTCTTTAGATCTTAATTTTCACTTATAAAATAGGGGTAAATAAGTATGGTAATTAGCATGAAAGTGCTCAATATATTTTGACTATCATTATTATTATTATTTTCCAATGAACTTGCACAACTAGAAATCATGTAAGTGTTTAACTCATCTCTTGCAATATATGTGGAATATAATAGATGCAGGGTTTATTATTTGTGGAATGAATAAGTAGTTACATGTTTTAAAACTTTTTTAAAATAACTTTTTGTTTTTTTAAAACTCTTCATTCAATTTTACTAATAAATTAGTTTATTTTTTAGGTCAGCAAAGTCTTGTGGCACTTTTCTTATAATGCAACCTTTTTGATAAGATCACTACTGATATATTAATTTCTAATTCAACTCAATTAACTGAGATGAGAATTAGGGTACAAATAACTTTTTCCTTTAGCTAAATATTTCAAAACCACATATTTTGTATTTAATAATCAAGCCCCCAAACTCTTCTTGGAAAAATTATATTAAGTAAGGAATAATAAAAGTAGAAATGTTCAAAAGGTACACCAAGTTTTACTTAACAGTATAAGTAAATTCTTAAATTCCTGAGGAAAAATACCTAGAATTACTTTTATTCAACAGTTATTCTATTTCTCAAATTCCAATCCTCTTGTTTACAGTAATAATAGTTTTAATACTAATTTTGCATTTCATTCCATACCAAAATGTGGGCAACCTGAGATCAGACAGTATTATGTGCCTTTGTATCCTTAATAGTACATTTCTCTATATGTAAATATTAGGGAAAAGGTATAAAGAGATACATAAAACTGCCTTGTGTATACTTCGTTGAACTCTATGGGAAGGATAATAATAAGAACCTACCCGTTTTTATATAAATACATATACAGAATCCACAAAATAAAGCAATTAAGGAGTGAAGACAAAGGACTGTATCTTTTCTAAATTTGCTCATATAAATTACTCTTCTTTTAACCTTTTATAAATAGGAAATTTCAGAATTACATGAATGTAGAGGAATGAATATAAATAACCCTGAAGTATCCTCAGTAATTATGAATAAAAGACCTAACTTGTTTCACTAAATCCCCCCACTCACTGACTGTTCAGATGACCTGAGTAATATTTGAGAAAATCTCAGACATTCTGTTTTATTTCAAATGCCTTACCATGAGTACTTTTTTTTTTTTTTTACAAATCAAACCCCAAATACTATTATCCCACCTAAATTAATAATAATTCAAAATACCAAATATCTAAACGTTATTCAAATTTCCTTGACTAAGAATTAATCCATTGCAAAAAATAAATAAATAAATAAATAAATAAATGAATAAATAAATAAATAAATAAATCTGTATTTCTAAACCAGTTTATTTCCTTCCAGTCAGTAATTTAAAAAATTAGTCATAAATAAACTCAAATTTAGAAAGAACTAAACACCACATTCAATCTTTGCATCAAATTTTAGCATATCTTCAGAACAATAGGCAATGTGCATTAAGGATGATACAAAGCAAAGAGATAATTTTTGTCTGAGGAGTGTTACATTGGCAATGGTGAGAGGAGAGGCGGGCAACATGCCAATTAAGTCTTTAATTTTATTATCCTATATTTACATATCTATCAGTAGGGGTTAACAAAAGATTCAGATGAATTTTTTATGAGATAGAAATAATGATAACCCAAATAGAATATAAGGGGGTGAGCTATCATCTGAGAATAGTATAATCAGTACAGAATATTAACATATTAATAGAAATGTACCTTAATAGATTGAGTTGAACTTGAATTCTTTACTTAAGAGACACTGAGGAATTTAACTTTAAAAATTAAATACAGTCGTCCCTCGCCACTTTGTGCTTCGACTTCCCTGGCTTCACTCTAGTGCGGTTTTATATTTGAAAAAAAACTGTAATAGAGTGAAGCACTGAAAGTCATAGAGGGAAGTGGCCAGGGAGAACCATATATAAATAAAGAATCCTACTTTGCAGAAATTCATTTATCTCAATAAAGTCTGGAATTGATTAATTGTAATAAACGAGGGCCTACTATATTAACTATAAAATTTATTTTAAAGATTTTAAGCCCTGGCCGGTTTTGCTCAGCGGTTAGAGCATCGGCCTGTGGTCCTGAGAGACCCGGGTTTGATTCCGTTAAGGGCACGTACCTCGGTTGCAGTTTGTCCGCGGCCCTGGTTGGTCGTGCGGGTGGCAGCCACTCAATGTGTCCCTTTCACATCGATGTTTCTCTCTCTCTCTCTCTCTCTTCCTCTCTCTCCCTCCCACTCTACCTGAACAAAAAAAATGGAAAAAATGTCCTCGGGTGAGGATAAAAAAAAATAATAATAAAGATTTTAAAAAAATAATAAAGATTTTTAAAAATGTATTACCAGTGTCAGGGGATCTGTACCATCTACAACTGTTTGTTGACAAGCTTCTGCTACAGATCAAACAAGACCATAGCCTATGACAGTTAAGAATAGTTTAGCAATTTTAAGGCCATTGAGGTAAACACACCTTCGAGTTTCTATATCTGTATTTGGCAGGAAGTTATTTGTTGTTAGCATATTCAATACAATGGATAAGCCACCACTTTTCAAGAAGTGAAACTGAAAATCAGCGGAATCATCTCCCAAAGATGCACCAGCAGGCATTAATAACACATAAATTACCTAGAAAAAAGAGAGAGGGAAAACTTAATTAATATGTTAAGAAATAATTTAACTTCTTTTATCATCATTACTAAGAAATTTTTAACTATTTCAAAATGTAATCTTATACATTGTGTACTACCATATGATAATAAAAATGAAAGTTTTGTAAAGAAAAAAGAAAACAACCTCTGTTAGGTATAGCACTCGGGAGGCAGATGGACCAAAGAAAAGTGAATCAAGAGATGGTCCAAGGTTATTTTCTTCAGGTTTTGCATGGTCCAAACAAATGGCTCATAATTTTTCTATTGTTTTGCTATCTGCAAATGACAACAACCCCCCAAATCAGATTAACTTAAAATATAATTCATATATTAATACATCACATTTGATATATTGATGAGTATTATGTTTAATATGAAACATAATTAATAACCATCAGTTAGGCTGAGTATAAGATCAAATGTTACAACATATAACCAGACCTAAATTGGTTAATAATCAATGAGGGGGTCTTTAATCATTAACCCAAAATATGAAGGAGACAGTTTTCCAATCCAGACTTCAAATCAACATGTCTTCCTTTCAAAGTAAGAGACAGAAAACAAACAAAAAAACACCCAACAGTGAAAAGGAATTAGTTTTCTTGAAACACAAACAACACAAGCTCCTTCCATCAAGTTCTCAATCATTTGTTTCACATGAGTTTCAAGAAAAGAACAAAAAAAACCATTATTATTTTTTTTAGACATCTTTTTAAAAATACATGTTTTTATTGAATTTTTAGAGAGAGAGAAAGGCAGAGATGGCAGCTGGCAGGATCAGAGGGAGGTGAGCATGTGAGAGAGAGTGAAATAGTGTATGAGAGTGTGAGTGGATGTGAAGGTAGAAGACCAAATTCCTGCAGTGCAGAGATGCAGAGCAGAAGGTTCCTGTGCTGTGGATGGGAGCAGAGGGCTACAGTGGTAAGCGGCTCTTCAGAGTGCTTCTCCCTGCACCACTGGGAAGTACCACCATTTTGGAAGATCCCAGGTCTTCCCTGGGAGGAGGCAGTGAGAACAGCTAGGGCCCAGCACCCTGAGCCCACCAGTACACTGGTACCATCAGACCAGTGGACATTCTGTGTCAACAAAGACATGTGCACAGTAGTGGAGCTCCCAAGGTGCCTGTCATGGAAGCCGTGGACAGTGGGGAGCTCAGCACCATCCCGCACGGTAGCAGCCCGATCAGAGTTGAGATATACCCCCAGCAACAGAGGCTGGGGAGAAGACATCCATCCCAAGGCAACAGAAGCATAGACCAGCAGCTGAGACCCATCCCCAAAATCTACAGCAAAGCTGAGCAGGAATTGAGCCCCATAAGGCAGCAGCATACCCCACCTTCCAGTGGTGGGACCTGGGCCTCCACAGAGGCCTGTGTGGTTCAACAGATCACAAGAGCAGTGGGAAGCTGGAGCTCAAGAGGTACTGGTGTGATCCACCTGCCCGTGGGTCCTATGGGATGATGGGGCATTAGTGAGGCCTCTGTGATCCAGGAGCCCACAAGAGTGGTGGAAAGCAGTTTCATTATGCTGACATTAACAATCCACAAGGACACTCCCTGCACATCCAGAGCCCTTCTTTCTGATCTCTTCCTCCCTAGGAAAACCCCTAGCTGCACTGAGATACTAAGATGGGCTTTGGACAAGAGTCTCCATCTTTTCAAGTTGCCAGCACTTGAATAAACCTCTTTCATTTTTTTCACCAGCACTTGTCTCATGAGTTTCGTTTTCATGGTGGCTTATTTTGTGTTACACTATTTCCATTAAAATAATTCCACAATTCTTATTAGCAGACCCCTGTTTAATAACACTATACTCTATTATCACTTTTATAGTTTGAATTTAGCTAATAAATATTTAGTAAGATTTGCCTTCCCCTCATGTATAAGTATCTACCAGTGTAGAATTTTCTTTTGGTCCACAAGTATAAAATATTTAGTATCTGTTTCTGTTTTATTTTACAGCAAAAGTTTTTCAATTTCTGTATTAAAGAATATTATTAGAATAACTGAGGAACTTGAGCAGAGGTGAAACTTCAACTGGGTCAGTCAATTAGATAATAGATACATACCAATATTAATCTTTGAGTTTAAATATTTCAATTTTGTTGTATAAGAGAATACATATCACCATTTTGGGGGATGACAGAATATCAAACAGATTATTCTCATTTGAGGAAGAAAAGTTATTTGTATTATATTTCCTATTTTTCTGTATTTTTTTGATTATTTCAATAATGATAATATATGTATAGTTCTGCAGAACATAAGGTTTAAGTGTATATAACAAATATTGTATTATAGCAGAAAACTATAAAATATTCATAAAATAAAAACCAAACTATAAAAAGTAGTAACAAAAATAAAAATTTTACAATAAAAAAGCTAAAAGTCAATGAAAAAATTCTATCTACATAACTGTTAAAAAATTACTAAAATACAATGAAAAAGAGAGGCAAAATGCTAAAATGAATATAGTAAATTCAACAGCACATTCTAAAGCATAAAAAACTCTGAAAAGCACAAATAAAGTGATGAGAATAATATGAGCAAAAAGAAATACAAATCTCTCACATATGGAACAATTAATTATTGACTGACAAGGTGTACAAAGTATCTAATACAAACAAACAAATAAACACAAAACACCAAAAAACAATAAAACGAAATCTACCCCATGCCATGTCATTTTAAGATTTCAAAACTCGAGAATTAAATAAACATTTATAGAGAAAAAGTTAACATTTAAATGACTTCAGTCCTGCTATGGAACTAGAAAACAAACAGTAAGAAGCACACTACTATAAGTGAGAGATTAATTGCATTCAAGTATTCTTTAAACAAATTCTTTTAAAAGTAATAATCAAACTGGAATTACAACAAAAATAAAGACAAATCATTGGACAAATGTAACAAAAAAAGCAGCTAGAGAGGACCCATATAACCACAAACAGGAAAAGAGGACAATGAGTCAAGCCTGAAAGGTCTATGAAGTCACAAGAGGGTTGAGGTGGGAGGCCATGCTCACAGCAGCTACCTTAGGATTAAAATCTCAAGACAGCTCCACAGTGCAGAGGGCTGAAACAGAACACTAAATTAGCTACACTCATTCATCTTGGACTCTGGCAAAGAGAGGGAAAACTGAACTGAAACTGTGTGGGGACACTCAAGATTTAGAGGGTACTCAGAGTTTTTGCTGAGTAACGGCCACACATAATGGTGGTCATCTTGCTACTTCCTGGAGCTCTGGGGAGAAGTAGTAGCACTTCCCTTGTAGATATAAACCACCCAGATGGGCCAGAGAAATGTAAATTGAGGTTCATTAACAACCAACATCTGCCCCTGCTCTGGAAATCCTCTTATGCTGAACACATGAGGGAGATTTTCATTCAGCTGAGGGCCTACAACCCAACAATCATCAAGTAACTGAGATTAATAGCCTCCAGGCAAAAAGCTAGAAGAAAACTGAACCTTTCCTGGGTTTGCAAATCTACCCAGAAATGTAACACTTCACAGTGGTGTTTGATGTGGGTTCTCCCACACTCATCCAAACCCAGTAGAGGGAGCCACAAACAGCAGAACACCAACACCAAAGAAAAAATTTGGCAGGCTCCAAACCCACTGAGATATCCAAAATGGTAAAACAAAATAACAAATCCCAAATGAAGAGCAAGAGAACTTACTGAAGATGAAATAAATGAACTGCAGTTAATCAAGTTATCAGAAGTAGAGTTTAGTGCCATGATAGTGAGGAAGCTCAACAACATGAGTAAGTCTATCAACACCAAGAGTAAAGATATAGATACACTGAAAATCAATCAAATGGAAAAGAAAACAACAACAACAAAGAAATGAAGAATGACATAGCAGAAATAAAAAAATACAATAAAAGGAATGACCAGCATAGTACAGAAAGCTGAGGACTGAATCAGAGATTAGAAGGTGAGATAGAAAAAAAATCAACCAATCAGAAAACCAAAATAAAAAAAAAAAAAACAATTTAAAAACAGAAAGACAGCTTACGAGAAGTATGGGACAGCTGAAAATGTAACACCATTCACATTATAGGGGTTCCCGAAAAAGAAGAAAATGAGCAAGGGTTAGAGAATATATTTGAAGAAATAGTGACAGAAAACTTCCCTAATTTGGTGAAGGAAGAAGGCATTCAAGTACAAGAAGCACAACAGCCCCATGTAAGAACCAAAATAGGCCCACACCAATACACATAGTAATTAAAATGCCAGAAATTAAAGACCAACAGAGAATGTTAAAGGCAGCAAGAGATAAGCAACAGGTTACCTACAAAGAAACTCCTACAAGAAGTCAGGCTATCAGCTGCCTTCTCAATAGAAACACTACAGGCCAGAAGAGAAAGACAGAAAGTAATCAAGGTCATAAAAAACAAGGATCTGAATCCAAGACTACTCTACCAAGGAAGGCTGTTTTTAGAAATAGAGAGTCAAATATAGAGCTTCACAGACAAAAAAAAAAAAAAAAAAAAAGGCTAAGGGAATACATTAGCACCAAACCAGCACTGCAAGAAATGTTAAAAGGACTACTGTGATTAATAGAAGAAATAGGGGAAAAAAATATATAACCACATTAAAAAAATGACAATAAATAAGTACATATCAATAATCGCCTTAAATGTAAATGGGATTGAATGCTCTGATAAAAAGACATAGAGTAGCTAATTAGTTAAGAAAGCATGTTGTTTACAAGAGACCCACCTTACAACAAAAGACTCACATAGGTTGAAAGTGAAGGGGTAGAAAAAAATTTTCCAAGCATACTGAAAGAAAAAAAAGCTGGGGTAGCAATACTCATATCTGATAAAACGAATTTCAAAATAAAGGCCATAACTAAAGACTAAGAAGGCCACTAAATAATATTGAAAGGATCTATCCAACAGGAAAATATAACCTTGGTAAACATATATGCACCCAATATAGGAGCACCGACTTATATTAAAAATCTTCTGGAGGACGTCAAAAGAGAAATCAACAGCAATACAATCATAGCAGGGGACTTTAACACCTCACTGACATCAGTGGATAGATATTCTAGACAAACAACTAGTGCCCTGGCCGGTTTGGCTCAGCGGTTAGAGCGTCCGCCTGCGGTCCGGAGAGACCCAGGTTCGGTTCCCGCTAAGGGCATGTACCTCGGTTGCAGTTTGTCCCCGGCCCTGGTGGGTGGCAGCCACTTGATGTGTCCCTTTCACGTCGATGTTTCTCTCTCTCTCTCTCTCTCTCTCTCTCCCTCCTAATCTACCTAAACA